ATATATTATATAGAAGGGATGAAACACCGGTAATGCGATCGTGTGATGTGTTCCATAAGTAGCCTGTTCTCTCGGAAAATTCCAAAACGCCTCCTGCCAACTCCAACAACGCCTACGCGCTTAATTAATGAAAATAAACAATGTTTAGCTATACCGGCTAATATGAAATGTTTAAATGTAGCGACCAACGTTTTTTTTTATATTATTTAGTTTTATTATTATTTCGTCATACGTCACGAGAACAGGCTACTTATGGAACACATCTCGCGATAATGGCCAAGAATGCTCGCTGTTATAAATCACATAAATTAGATTGATCAGTGCTTTTTTGGTAATGACTAGGCTTGTTCATGTAAGAGAACATCGACTGAGCCTTAAAAACCCCACAAAAAGCTTAAACGGGTAGTCTAGAAGCATTTTAAAAAGTCACGTGATATTTGTTTCATCCCTTCTATTTATTTCTTCCCTCGCCTTTCCGCTCGCGCCCGCAATCCTTTCTGTTATTTTCGTTGGAACGTCATGTAATATTATCGTTTTGTCAATTTATTCGCCATATTTGAAGTCTTTGGAACGAAGCAAGTTTTTGAAGCTATTCACTGTATTAAAATGCAAGCTCTTATGATTTATACAAGTAAGTGCAATATTACGTTATGATGTTTTATTCATATTACGTTTAATTAATATGTTTTATTCATAACACAGCTGTTAGTTGGACCCCTGTGGTATAGCTTGTAAAACAGATTCTGGCGCGTAAATTCATGTACTCGAACTAAACATGTCTGCATCCGAAGATCTCGCACAATGGATGTCACAGTTTCAGAGTGAACTCGATGACCCATCGTATCAAATAATTTATGGAAGACTTACAGACAATCATTTCAAAACAAGAACTCAACTCAAGCTAATTTTTGCGAAAGAAGTCGATATCATGTTCAGTGCTGGGGAGCTACCTTTGGGTGCAAAAGCGCTATTGCTTTACCAGTTGGACAAGCTAAGAAATGAGTCGCCTCTTCCTTTGTGTCGGAAACGGACAAGAATAAATGAAAGCGAAAATTCAAAAGGTATTGATGGATTTGATGAGTGCGACGCCGATGAAGAAAATTCACTACAGCCACCGATCCATACACCGACCGCACGCAAAGTAAGTTTGAAAAATTATACTCTTTCTAAAATAGACGTTTATCAGTTTACCTTGTAATATGTGGTATGATGACAAAATATTTTATTGATTTTACGCCGTTATGCACGTCAGAAAAGTGATAATACATGCGACGCGATTTTCGTGAAGCATGAATAGTTTCATGCTGTTTTGGCATTTTGCAAAGCGGCAAAAAATGACATTTCTGTATTCTTACATTCAGGCAGTTTTACCAGCTTTTGATGAGCAAGTGAATAAGTTAAAAGAGCAACTAAATAGAGAGAGGGATGAGCACAGAGAAATTGAAATAACAATAGAATCTATGGCGGAAAATGTCAAGGAAAAACCTGTGGTTGGAACTTCACGAATAATCTGCAGTAATTGCCATACGAGAGGTCATAGAAATCAACAAAACAAGCCTTGCCGTTTGCCAAAGTGTGTCGACTATACTTCTTGTGGAATGAAGGATAAACATCCTGAATATTTCTCGCGGTTGAACCGTCTAAAAAGTGATTTAAGGAGAAAGGCTAACACAGTCAAGGAATTAGAATCACAAATACAGACAATGGAAGATTTCACCTCAAATAGTGAATATCACTTTATCAAAAACTTAACACCGCGACTTTATAAAGTAGACCACAGTTACAAGTTGAACAAACCAAAACTTATGCGAGATATTCGTATGTTACGCAAATGCACGGATGGTAAGATTCCCCCCGTTACTGCAAATGATTCCGAACAACTGCGTATACTACTTAACAAATGCAGAAAGAATTTCAACTTGGATATAGATGCTCCCAATATATTTACAGACAGAGACAGTAAGCCGAAAATGAAAGCAGACGAACTGACAGTCATGCCTATTAATAATAATTCTCCCGTAAAAAACACCTATGTTCAGTCTGAAGAATGCAGTTCTTTACCGCCAGCTGAAGGAAAACGCAAGAAAGATAAAAAGCGACATAAAAAGCACAAGACAAAAAGACGTCGAAGGCGAAGGTATTCATCTAGTTCCAGTTCCGACAGTAATGCAGATTTTCTCGATAACTCTAAACGACCTGCGTATTTTGATAGCTTTACCTGTAATAATTATTCCTCAAGGTTCCCGCCATATAGACTTTGTGGTACAAATAACATTGCAGGGTTTAGTTACATGCCAGGATACTTTCCTGCACCTCCGAATTCGGCAACACCCTACCCTATGCAAGGCTATCTCCCCACTTCGCAATTTAACATGCCACAGGCCCCATCTCCGATATTCGAAAACAGGGATAAAACTACGTATCCTCAACATGGTTTGCATCACGACTACGATACAGAATTGCCGGTCCACACATGTACCAACCCACGAATAGCAAATTCAATTACTGATACAAGTACAACAACAGTAAATCTTAATGTTAATTCGCCAGACAAATGGTCGGGATTAGATACACTTGTCGAAGTGGCGAACGATATTCAGACTTGAAATTGACAAGATGATGACATTATGGTAAAATATAAAACAGTTTTCATAATAGTTGAGTTAAGATTGAGTTTAATATATTTGTATTTAAACTTTCTTTATACTAATTATTATACTCTAAACTTTGTTTTGTAAGAATTCACTCGACATGCATATAATACATATAGCCCAAAGCGAGCATAATGCGATAAAAATATGTCCAATAAGGCAATATGTATGTTCTATGGCTATTTGTATGGCACGTTTGACTTTTGTTCTGATTTTAATTGGTTTATAATAGCCTATTCTAGTTTATAGTAGTAGACTCATGGTCATCACACGTAAAAAAATATATTTTACAACTTGTGTTGCATGAGTCAATGGACAATTCACAGCAAAAACACATTTTCTTATTAAGAAAAAAATTTCTTAAAATAAGAAAATGATTTTCTTAGTAAGAAAAAATTTTCTTGAAATAAGAAATTTTTGAATCCCAAGATATCTTTTTCTTAAAATAAGAAAAAATTTTCTTAATAAGAAAACATTTTCTTAAAATAAGAAAATACGATTTTCTTACTTTCTTAATAAGAAAACATTTTCTTAAAATAAGAAAATACGATTTTCTTACTTTAAGAATATGTTCGTAAGACAAGAAATGAAATTCTTAAAATACAAAATTATAAAATAGTAAGACATTATTACTTAAATTTTCGAAGCAAGAAAATGTAAAATGCTAGTGTTATAGGACAACTTATATCTTAACAAGACTTAGAACAACGTATATCTTATTGCGTCAGGTAAATTTGTAGTTTTTATTTCGAATTGAAGAGACTATATGACCGGCAGCTCACGGTTGATCAAACACTAAAAGGCCGGCAGTACATTGACTATATAGTTAAATTCAATTGAATCTTCAGTAATCAGTATATTAAGATAGATAAACCGATCCCCAATCCCAAACCCTTCTCTAACCTTAACCCCTAACCCTAACCTTTTGAGAGTTAAACCGGCTGCCGGTAATATAGTCACTTTGTTTTTATTTCGTTTCCAAAATTTGAGCTCGTTTCAGTTTTATTGAATCGTTGAAGAGAATTTTTGCCCTCCGGAATTTTTATCCAAGCAGGAATAGTTCGCCATAGTTCGCGTATTCGCTAAACGCCTGGTACCTAGTTTACCTTTTAGAACGCGGAGCATCGCGGGATAGCGTCGTTTTACATTTTTGTGAAAATTTTTATATAAATATCCATGAGTGCCTTCAAGGCAATTTAAATGGCAAATAACGATGGGAAAAGCATCAGAAAGTCCTTAAAATGTTGTTCAGACACCACAGGTAAGAAAAATTGTATATTTGACTTGTTATTTAAACATTCATTGCGAAATAATGTAGTGATTATGACTGTTTACTTGAGCGAAGTGTGAAAATATTCCATTGAATGTTTGAATTTGCCGCGTTTGTTTTGCATATAAAACATGCAAATGTTGCTTTCAGGCAAGGAACGAAAGATTAAAATATAAATTCATATCTATTATTGTGAATTCCATACTAATTTACGCACTAATATTAACAATTTGACAATACTAAATTGCCTTTGACATTGGCAGTTTGCTAGACCTTTTCAAATGTCAAGACTCAAGGCTATATAGTGATATGAAATAAGATATTATAAATACGGATGTTTTTGAAGATCTGTTAGCATTTTAATACTTGAATAAGGATTGGAATTACAGGAGAATGACAGCATTTAATCTGATATTTTCAGTGTATAGATAGCTGAATAACTGAATTGCATCCTACTTTATTGTTTACTCTGTCTAATGCCAGATGATTTTCCTACTTGCCTTGCCGGATAACTTGGCTACTGTAGAGAATATTTAGGCCCCGTTTACATGAGACCGGGACGAAGTCAAACCGGAATGAAAATTGAAATTGTCAACATGTTTACATGAGACCGGTACGAGGATCACAAAATCTTCAATTTATTCCCCTTGCCAGGCAATTTTCTTTTTCAGGTGGCTTTTGCTAGCATGTGTTGTTCCAATTCAAGGTTACATCCGAGACCGGTCTGAAATGTATTTGTGTTTACATTCATCCCGGTCTGAATTCATGCCGGTCTGAAGTCAGTCGGTTCGGTCCAGAAGGCGGAATGACTTGAGACCGGTCTGAGTTATTTTCGTCCCGGTCTCATGTAAACATCTATTATAGATAATACTATGACCGAAACGAGATGTCCCGGTTTGACTTCGTTCCGGTCTCATGTAAACGGGGCCTTAGTTTTCCCGACTTACTATGCTTCACCCAGGAAACTCTGCAACCCTAGATAGAATGTATATGCCTTTCATTTAAAATAATAGCCCAAAAATACATACAAATCATTAGGTATGTTTATAGCTTTTCTCTATTTCTAGCAGCTTATTCTTGCCTATTTTGTAATCATGTTTTTTAAACCTTTTGAATGATCCAAATTGTGTTTGTATTTTGTCATTGCGCAGCAATAATGGGGTAACTTGATTTCATATAAATAGACTGCTTTTTGTCCTGCCTGAGTGAGTAACTGACCTTGCCGGGTAACTCGCCTACTGATGTACTGATATCCATATTGGTGTATTAGTCATCTTTGAATTTCGTGAAATGACATGTATTATCGGTATCGGCAAAGTATTGGTCGTTTATTATCAGTTATCAGAATATCTGTGAATTTCCATATATCGATGCATCACTAATACAGTTCAAGATTGTGTTTATATGAGAAAATGCCATCCTGCTCGCTGGGACAATTTTGTTATGTTGACATTGTTTTGACAGTTGTTAAAAATAGCTTGCAGCTCGGCATCTTTGAACATTCATCCTGGCCCAGCCTGCTTGTGAGTGTATATGTGGAGAAATTTTCATCCCGATAAGCAACATTGTGGCATCAGAGCCATCCTGCTTGTGGATCCATATAAACACATGATAATTTTTTCTAGATAAATATACCTAATGCAGTAAGATCTTGCTTACCGGGTTGTCCCTCTAAGCGGTCCAGCCCAGCTTCCATAAATACAGCTGGTTGAAAGAACCATGGACAGCAACCGGAAGTAAACTATACTGTCAGTAACTGTGTG